AAAGAAACATACATGTAACGAAGTCTCAGATAAAGTTCTGCTCAGTGTAAAACACTCACTATCTAAAAATCAGTTGGAACTACTTTAGCAAAGTATTCAACTGTTATTAATAATTGAAATGTTCTAAGACAACATAGAATTATTATTATCAGCAAAGAGAAAATTACTCATCTTAATCAACATAAAATTAATCAATAAACAATAGAGATACACATTTATGGCTTTTATTTTCGAAAATTCGAGATTTCTGTTACACATGATAACAATAATAGTAATACTAATATCCACATTTAGATAATCATGTGCAGATAACATTTGAAATTCACTATACCAAACATTGATAAAATTAATAGACAAATTATAATTAGAAACTTTGATATGTTGACTAAGATTGATAGTTTTAAATTAAATGTTCGTAGAAAACAATCAAAGATACAACATGTTATTAATGTATGTTCGTGAAAGCCAATGATACCACCGAAACTTTACCTACATTTAGTAAACAGTAGATTTTACCTCATGACCAAGTGGTTAAAAGACGATTGTACAGAATACTGAGCAATAATTCATAAATATGGTGGTCTAGCTTCAACTGACTCATGATCTTAACCATTGAAATTACTACAATCTCCACAAAAAACCCATCTGATAATAATCAAAATATGCTCACTAGTGACTGGCTTCACGAGGTATATCCTGGAGTTCTAGTGAGAAGTAGTGACCAGTGGAGTTCAACCAGGTCTGTTGTGAGGTAGTAACTCACTGAAGACAATGGTGAATGTGTCGCTCAATTTCGTGGATTAGTTGGAGTTAGACATTAACACCGTTGGATGCCGGCTCAGTGGTCTAGTGGTTAAGTGCTCGGGCGCGAAACCAATAGGTCCTGGGTCCGAATCTCGCAGGGGGCGAGGTCGTGGATGCGCACTGCTGAGGAGTCCCACAATAGGACGAAACGGCCGTCCAGTGCTTCCAGGTTTTCCATGGTGGTCTAGCTTCAACTGATTCATGATCTTAACCATTGAAATTACTACAATCTCCACAAAAAACTCATCTGATATTATATCATATAAACAACAAAAATCAATATTAATTGTAAATACACAAATTCAACACTATAGCTTGATTGTAGTGAATATGAATATAACATTGCGTAATCATTACTTCGATTCTTCGGATGGTGAACATGTGAAGTCAAAAAAAATGAATAAGCTCCATTTTCAACGGAACCATAAAACTAAAGTAGAAGACAGAAATAAACAATAGCAGAACATGAGCATAGAAAATCAAGTCACAAGCTGGATACACTGAAGCGAACAGGCAAGTGAAGATGTGCATTAGAGCTGACAAGGTGTGGAAGAGCTAGCAACCACATCGAAAAAAACTTCAAGATAAGGAAATATGAGACAGCTACATGACGCAACGAAGAAACTAGAAGGAAAATATGATAAACAAACAGAGACCTATCAAAGACGACGATGGTAAGCCAATGGAAATTCGAATCCACAACTCGTTTCTTCATTATGTTCCTTGAATTCGCATAAGATTTTTCAGTTTAAATTACTACACTCGTTGATCAACAACTAATACCTTCTACTTAAGATTCTCTAAAGCTAACAGTTTCTGCTCACAAAAAATCCTTTCGAGTCAATTATGGAACTATTTAACGGAGTTCTCAGAATAATGTTTTCATAGATTGATACACTATATATGAAGAACAGTCACATCTAAACTAGTGTATACATAGATCAACGATATTCAAAATAAATGATATTTTCCAATGTAATAAATCAGTTAAGTGGTATTCTCATAGGTGGAAATAAGTACAACTGTCATATAAATTCCTTCCGGGAATTCCACTCGAAATAGTATATTGTGAATCGTGAGTTGGCTACTCTAAATTCTACCGATTGACTAGCTTCAGATATCCCAGTTCGACCCCAATGCTGTTACCAATCCCCAATATATCAGAACACGAACCGCAGATGAAAAATCGTTTATGGGATAAGGAGCAGCAGAAGAATGATTTACAAACAAATGCATATTTATACAGTTAGGATTACTATAAATATTGACCAACAGAAAGTTGACACGTTAAATAATATTGACCAATAGGAAAATGACACGCGAAATAAATATTGATCAGTAGGGAAACGACCAATAGGGAAATTACACCATTTAACCTTCAAGGGTAGCGTTAAACTTAACCGGATAATTTTTTTTTCGGATATTTTTCTGAGTATCCCAACATAGTAAATCATAATATACAGTGATTTTATATGTAGAATTCAACTTCCCTTTTAAAAAACACAAATTTACTGTAAAAGCACCATTTGGTTTGATGGATTAAACAATTTATGTAAAGGCATCCACTAATTTCATAAGTTGGTTTTCCATACCTTACAGGTATAAAGCTTTTCGGGATAATAATGGTGAATATTCGATGTTTTTCTGGAGACTTTTGGCTCTCCGTCTAGCGTTCGTAATCGTTTTCGAGGTAACTTGATCAACATGTGTATATGAACTACTAAAATATTGTCTTAGAAAACTATAGCCTATTTCACATAAGCATCAAATTTTTAATACAATATTGCAGCATGATAAATTGATTTTTGTTAAGCAGTTTGCCAAATTAGTCTGTTCATTTGATAGATGGGTATAATAGGAAGGGCGAATTCGTTTACGTGACATAACACAATTTCCAGTTTTCATATTCTTATTCATGTGCACTAGTGAATTGTATGTAGTGTTTGTAATTTCTGATTACAGTACTTGTTACAAGACACTTTGCATAAAACAATAACAGCTACTTACAATATAGATAAACACAGTGACCTCATCTGAGTCATCGTATTCCCTATTGCTAACCATGTAGTAACTTTGCTTCGTTACTCAATCACCCTTGAAACCGTTATTACATAAATTTCAACGGCTTTTCAAATCAGAAGGCAATAACAAGCGGCAACTACAGTTTTTTCAGCCGACAGGGAAGAAGATCACATTGCCATAAGCACATTCAGCGAATTCGAAGCATGGAGGCCAATATGCATGTACGAGCCAATTCATAGGCAAATTAATTTATAGTCAGATCATATTAGGGCACAGCAAGTCAAGGCAAAGTTCAACAATAGGATTTGAGCACATATATACATGGGGAGCAGGATGAATCATCGAGTGATATTTAAGCGATCAACATTCTAGCAAGTGTCTGTCATGTGATGATCTAGTGATCCTAACAGAACAAAGAAATATGTGAATTGTTACTGTTCAAATAACATTGTCTGTTAAATAAGTTAATAAAAGGCCTTAACCAAAATTAACCATAATCGAAATTGGTTGTAGGATAGTTGCTGTGATCCGGATATGATATAAGTATGGTTGGTTTTGTGCAATTCCAAATTTTCTTCCCGAGAATATAAGAGGTTTTTTATTAAAAAAACACAGCACTATTTCTTTTAATGTTGAATTATTTTGGTTCCACGATTAAAAAAGAACTGAGCAATCGCTCAACTATGTAAGAACGTAACAACCAGATAAAATGGAAACGTTCTACCTCAATTACAATAGGTTTTGTTCAATGAATAAACTAGTCGAAAATCCCCACATTTGTTTAACATTTAGTTTTGTTCACAGTGAGTGAATATTCTTCACCCGAATGATTCTGTTACAAAATTGTCCAGTTAAATGAAACATAATTGGGACTTTTGTCTTCTCAGGTTCTTTGAATGCATCTCGATTCTGTCGGTTGTTTTAATTTGGTGCAACAAGTAATCAGGAAAATCACCAAGGCAACTAAATAATATTCTCTAACAGCAATTATTTCGATTACACACATTTCACTTAATTTACTTTGATCTTAGTAGATAATTGGTTTCATTAACGATGACATATTTAATTTTATAGCACGTGGCATTTGTTTTGGCGAACGCTCTAGATTTCTTCATCCCAGATGTTCCAAGTAGTTTGAAAGAACGCATCCAACGAGAACGATTCCTGGCAAAGCAAGCCCTTCTGGATATTAGTTTGGTAAATTCACCTATGATCGAAAGTATATTTCTATTTACTATCATTCATTATCGTTATGTAGGAAATACTGGTGTACATTCTGGTTGAAGAAATAAGTGTTTACTACTTCAACATTATTTTCCTCAACATCTATTTGTCTTCAGAACCTGCAGCTTTCTCCTAATTTGCTGTTTGAGCATTTAGCTTTGGATTTAGTGAACATTATGGGGTCATTACTCATCGTAAGATCTAACCAAATACCAGATGCACTAACTAACACTTCAACGCACTTTCAGTATGAACTGGGTGAACCAATACTCTCTTTTGGTAATTCTTTCACTGATCACAACTAACCATCATCAGATTACTGACCAAGCCTAGGCACTGAATAATAAATAAAATCGAACCACTTGTAATTATAATAGAGATGTTTTTGTTGTATCCCGATGAGTAGGAAAATTGTGTTTCTGACGTTTCATGGCTCAATGTAAACCACTTCTTCAGAGTAAATGAATAACCGACAGAAAAATTATCAGTTATTTATTAATAACTCTCTACCCAGTGCTCAATTTATTTGAAACTATCAAGTCCAACCTTACTATTGATACCATTTGTCGTAATGTAACAAAATTATACATATCACGCTACTTTGTGCCACAACAAAAACATTTTTCATCATATATGGTTCATTTGGGATTATTTCCGTATTTTGATTAAATTTCAACATTGGGATAGTTCTCACCATTTTTTCATCCTAGATACAGAAACCGTGTCTTCCGAAATTTCTCATACGAATTTAAACTGAACGGTAAGGAGAAATTCTAAATTAATAAATCCTTCGTACTGCTTAACTAATAAACTGAATTGTCTACAATTAGTTATTAAATTGTGACACAGAACCTAGCTAGATTTGGCTTATATCGACATTTAGCTAGTGTTGTGCAGCATAAAATATTTTGTCCTCGATGAACCCAGAAAATGATATCGAACCAAAAGAATTAAGGCCTCAAACTTCGCTCGTTTATTATCAAATCACAGGAAAATAATCACAATGTAAAACATAGCGTTATGAAATTGATTTGTACAGTTACAAAGGAGGTAAGGTAATTAAAGAATAGCGTCTTCATTTCCCAGCATCTCGATAAATGATTTTCGTGCTATCTGAGCTAAATTTCTGGACTCATTATCCCCATATTGCTTTACTAATTTTGCTAGTGGACCATTACCACTTATTTGAATATCATCAGTAGTTGATAAGTGATTTTCATCCACGTTGTAATTCTTTTTATCAGTCTCAGCGAGATCCGGATTAAGAAGCACATGCGGATGACCGGATTCTATTACTTCGCCACTCTCCATAACCACTACAATTTCATTATCTATGACAGTATGTAGCCTATGTGCAACAGTTAAAACTGTAACGTCTTTGAAAATGCTCCTGAGAGTTTTCTGAATGATGAAATCAGTACTGAAAACAACAAATTTGAAACAAAATGATATAACGTTCAAACAAAACACTAAAAATTATAGTGCGACTTTAAATTATATAACATTTACCTGGGATCAACGTTGGATGTTGCTTCATCTACCACCAATATGCGGCTTCCACTTAGAATTGCCCGAGATAATGCAAACAATTGTCTCTGTCCAATACTTAAGTTAGAACCGCCTTCATTGATTAGTGAATCTAACCCATTACCGAGATTTTTAACTGTCTTGTCCAGCTGTATCTGCAGGCAATAAAATATGATTACAGATATGGAGCAACTTCCTAAAAAGATGAAATCTAATGAAGCATGAGACTTATTGTTCAACTATTTACATAATATAATACTATACCTCAACTTTCATGGGAAAAAAGTACATTCTCGTCACGAAGCCATCTAACTTGGCTATTTGTTGAGTACTAGGAAGGACTGGACAGTTGATTCATCTTAGTATTGCACTCCTTAAGAATATATAACCTTACGGAATATGCAAGATACACAGTGTTCGCGTACCCGTACCACTGACAAATATCACATACAAGTTAAAATAATCTCTATAAAACCTCAACAACCAAAATTGACTTCCATCTCAGTTTATAGGAACGTGTTATGAATGTTCGGAGCAATTTTATTTGATAATTTGTTTTACACTGTTAGATTAGTATTACCTTGATGGCAAATACCTCTAGAATAAAAGTGGACAGTAAGTTTTTCCAAGTTAAGAACCATTGAATATGTAAAATATTGGGATCAATGAGAATAGAGTAAACCATCTAGACGATTAGGTTCATAAATAAATTGATAATCGTAGACGTTAGCTAAACAAAATATTTGTTACCTATGAAGCATCAGAAATCAAATTTTTGAATTTCGAGAACTGTTTAATCCAGACCTTAACTCAGTATTGTTTTCTTAAAAGACGTTGTGATCTGTTTGTTTTATATAGTTATTGGTATGCGTTTTCTTTCAGTTTTAAGCATTGTGTTGTGAAGAAGGCTTCAGATTTACTCAAAGGAAACAGTTCAACAGAAATTCAATGAGTGACTGTGTTTTTGGTTATTTTTTCCACTTACTAGTACATCTCGATTCTTATGGAGATAAAGATAAATAATCATGAGTTGTTTTGGTGACAGTACTTCTAAAGATATTATTTACTCAACTATTCAGGTATTGTTCGGAAGTACTAAAACATACTTTTCGACTAATTGAACTATAAAAAAATTTGTAACCTACGGGAAACTTGAGAATGGACAGCATAAACTTCATATTAGTAATAATTTGTAAACAGAGATGAGGAAATCGCTCCTTCCGCCAGCAAATCAAGGAATTAAAAAATTAAAATATGAGTTTGAGATCAGATGTTTAGAGTGAAGAAAAGAATTCGGTAACGGAAAAAACAAGCAAAACAAAGCTTTCTAATGCCAATGATAAGTATTGAGGAAATTTTGAAAGACTTCTGTCCTTGGCTGAGATTTTAAACGCTTCTGATTGAATTAGTAGTAACGCTTCAAGAACTACTGAAGTCAGTAACTCAACCGTATGTTCATTCGTCGAAGAGTATTTTTGAGCCCAATTCGATTCAATCAATCCGCGTATTCCTTTTGAAAACATTCAGTTAATCAGCATAACAAGTCATTTTTCCTTTATTTATAAAGTCGTTACTCAAGGTCACTATTTCCAATCAGATTGTCCTATGCTACTACATTTAATGGAAAATACTAGTCTACATACATCACATCATGAAAACATATTGTAATGGTTTAACCTGGACTACAGTTCAGATTAAATTAATCGGTCTCCAATAAATTAATAGCTGTTCACGGTTATCTAAATACTTTCTTACCATGTGACTGGGGTAATAAAACATCTAAATAATTGATCGGAATTATGTAAATTTCATCTCTCGCATATGATATTGTTCAGCATGAACAATAAACTTTGTGGAATACGTTTATTTGATTCCATTTTTGTGTGGTTAAGTCATCTAAAAACTCAGTACTTTTATATATAAGAATTGTTATCGGTAGGATAAACCAACTGATAAAAAGATTAAACGTTACAAAGAAAGAACAGTGAAGTAATCATGTTAACAAACTCACAGTAAGAATCATGTTACGTCTAAGCGATGTCGAAATCTGACAAAGACGTGAAAACATGCTTGGCCAAGATAAAAAGGAGTCAAATGTTTCTTGAAATAATAATCACACGGTTAAAAGCCATACTAATACAGTAGGGATAAAAATGCAAACTGAAAGATATACTTTAAAGATCTAGCAAATCATAATGTTAAGAAGCGTAAAATCCGACAATGATCAAATAACATTAACCTATCATTTTGATCAACTATGACTTTTCAGATAATATTAATTCTCATCTTGAAGACATTAGTGTTTTGTGGCCCGTTGATCTGACACCGGTCTAGTTGTATGATAATGCTAACGAAATATGCCACCAACCCTCGTACATAATTGTCGACTTGATTTGTGTTATAGAATAACGGGATGAAATAAATCATATACAAGAATGAATTTCGGTTACACACATTTCATACACTCGTTGATCTAGACAGATAATTAGAGAAACGAGGCGAAGGCAAACATGCCAACTCGATTTGATCAAGAGTGACTTAATATTTATAGCCAGATAAAAACAAGCTAGAGAAATGTCATGAGAAGGGTGAGGGATGGAGACACATACGCTCATATAAAAATAGTCAAGGTTATAAGCGAATAATTGACAAGGTCAAAGTGCGGAGCAAGATTAATACATAAATGTCTGTCCGGAAGCTCGAATAACTCATATGGACTTGACACAGAACTAAACACCAAAAATAAGTGGTGAAATAGTTTACAGAAAAAATAAGCAGTTCTGTATAAACTTATTGCAATAAGACTTACACTTTCCAAGGCCTTCCAAATTGCTTCATCTGTTTTCTCACCTAAAGGGTCCATGTTCATTCGAACCGTTCCAGTGAACATGATTGGATCCTAATTTGTTAAAATATTTACTAGAAAATCTTCTATAAATATTTTTTTACTAGTAGACTCAGAATAAAACTAAAATACTGTAAAAAAAATCTTCAATGTACTCTACCAACATTGGGTAGACACTTAGACCCACTAGAACTGGGGTCACTGTCACATTGTGGATACAAGCCTTTCGGTACTTAAATAGCTAGTTCACAATTGGTTAAGGCCTTTTATTAACTTATTTAACAGACAATGTTATTTGAACAGTAACAATTCACATATTTCTTTGTTCTGTTAGGATCACTAGATCATCACATGACAGACACTTGCTAGAATGTTGATCGCTTAAATATCACTCGATGATTCATCCTGCTCCCCATGTATATATGTGCTCAAATCCTATTGTTGAACTTTGCCTTGACTTGCTGTGCCCTAATATGATCTGACTATAAATTAATTTGCCTATGAATTGGCTCGTACATGCATATTGGCCTCCATGCTTCGAATTCGCTGAATGTGCTTATGGCAATGTGATCTTCTTCCCTGTCGGCTGAAAAAACTGTAGTTGCCGCTTGTTATTGCCTTCTGATTTGAAAAGCCGTTGAAATTTATGTAATAACGGTTTCAAGGGTGATTGAGTAACGAAGTAAAGCCACTACAATTTCACGAGAAGACCCCATAATATAAAGTTTGACGCAATTGACATAACCCTGCTCTGTTGGCACAATTTTGTGCTGATGTAAGTGGGATTTCGTTGTTTATACGAATTAGCTGTAGTAACCGGTTGGTTATTTTCTTTTTTGAAAGTGAATTTGATATGAAAGGATAGTGTTTTTGTGAGTTTGAATGAGGCTCTCAGGTTCATTGACTTCATTATTATAAATGAATCAGCAACATATCTCATACATATGGGTGGACTTATGGTATTAGCAGAGATTTAATTCTCTATATGCCACAAAAGAGTTACCCGAGATCACGGAAACAGATCTTATTAATACTCCCGTGCTTTTTCTATAACGTCCTTCTGAATGTCGATCAAGTTGGATTTAATCACAGCCTTAGGGAGTTATTTATTCGAATAATGGTTCATAAACATTTAGTTGAGAGGGCGTGAACATTCTCTAATTAACCATTTATAAGATCCGGGCATCTACCAATAGGAAAACAAGTTTATTATTACAGTAAATCCATCGGTAGAAAAATAGAAATAACAAACACACGAATACCTCATTCTTACGATAATATTCACGTCTTAGCTTACTTCACCTTCCGACTAACTACCAGTCTCAGTGGACTGACATACATCCGCATTCTCCTGAATTATAAAAATCATGTAACATGCTGTAAGTAATTGATATTGATACCATGATAGGAAAACTAGTTCATGTTATTGTGTTCGCTTCGATTATGTCGTGATCTATCAAGTTCCAATAATATTTTGCGCAGTTTTTTTCAATTCTCGCTTTATTGGACATCATTTCTTAATTCAATGACCTCGCCTAACTAATCTTCCATATTTATACCAGCGTTTGTTAACAATATGGTTTCCTTCTTGTTTTACAAGTCATGACTTCCGATACTGACAGAGGAAAGTAATTTAAATAAGGTATATGGTTCGGAAATACTTCATATTCTACTCATCAAAGTCCAATTTAATGACTCATAAATGAAATGGCAACTAGAAGAATCAAAAGCTGTAATCTAAACATTTCAGTGTGATGGAACACAGAACATGGTGGAAACAAGATTGGAGTGTTGGTGTTCTTATTGGGAATTGGTCTAATAAAACTAACTGAAAACTTCCTCTACCTAAAGCAATTATTTACTTTTAATAATATTCCCTTACTTGAGAAATTACTGCTATCCTTTTTCGCAGGTAATCCAGTTGTAAACGTTTGATATCCACTCCATCTATTAGTATACATCCTTGCTCGCCTTCAACAAGTCGAAATAGAGCAGAAATTATGGAACTTTTTCCAGCACCAGTTCGTCCCACTATACCCACCTAATAAAAGATATTGCAAAATCGAAGATGTAGTTTACGAAATGAATTTCCATAAACAGTTCCCAGTACGGTATTTTTTATTCTCAACACTAATGTTATTGAAACGTCAAGAACAACAATAACTGTAACACAAAGTGGACTTAATTTGCTTCTCATCAGCTGCAACTGCCTGAAATCACAAGGAGTAATACAATTACAGACTATGACGAGTGAAGATCATATGGACTTAAAACTGATCGATAACGTAGTAGTGAACAATACTATTTTCGTCTAGTCTTAGAGCGCTGATAGAATGTTATCGACTAGTATACCTGTGGCTACACGTCTGTGTGAATTAAGTTATCAATTCAAATCGTATCTATATCTAATCTGATTGAGATTTTAGGCGGTTGTCTGTAGTCAACAAAACCCTGGACGTAGGTATCTCGCTATTCGGTATTTATCAGCAATGTAGAGTGAGATATGAGTATGTGTGTTATTTAACATGAATTTCAACTAAATAGAAATGAATATTACAGCACCAGGCTCATGGAGATCTTTCTGAATTTCATAGTTAACATCATGAACTGTTCTTAGATAAAAAAAATCATCAGAAACAAGTAGTTGCTAAATATTAAAAATTAAGTGAAGTTCAACATCTACGCTATAATATTCCTGCTCAGTAATCTGAAAATTGAGTGCACGATCCCTGTTGGTAGGGTCCCTGATGAGCACTGCTGAGGAGTCCCAAACTACGACGAAGTAGCTGTCCAATGCTTCCTGGTTTCCATGGTTGATTAATTAAGACTACCTGACGGTATTATGATGGTGCAATGAATATTGAACGTAAGTTGACATAAACAGACAATAAGAAAAACAAGCTTAGAGTATTAAACACCATACAAAATATCCCAAACTCTGGCTGTTAAACTACAATCAAGTTCTAGAAAAATTTTTGAAGATGCTTTTTTCTCTGAGTGCAATGTTTTGATCGTGAAGCTCTCATTTATTCTTGATAACATTAGCCTCTGGCAGAGTCAGGGTGAAAGCGGTCAAAACAAATGCGCAAACAACGGCCACACTGAAATGAACAACTACCGAGCAAGTTCTTGGTCGACAAAACAAGCTACTAGTCAATTGTAAAGAAATTCTGATGACTCAGTTTTTGCTGAAGTGTATGTTGATGATCTGGTTGAGAAAAGTAATGAAAGCTTCACGAATAAGCCAACCAGCCCAGTGAAATACATCTCTGAAATCATTATTCTCAGTTAGAAATACTTCTTATCATCTACTATAGGACTGATGATCAATTCACTCTTTCTAAAATAAAACTACTGTACGTATTTCTAGAATATTCAGTATGCTTTACACATCCTATCGGTTTCAGTAGTTTTACAACGAATTTATCTTCTTTAATTATTGTCATATAGAGTATTCGTTCACGATGAACCTTATGGTATAGCCTATGCACACGTATCTAAGTAAGTCGGTCAGTCATAAACAGCGTACAGACTATCACAAAAAGTCTCCAACCACTGATCGTGTTTATCACTCCAACCAAAATCAAAAAGTCCTTATGTACCAACACACTTCAGTCAGTCAATTACTACATTAACTGAAACCATATCATGATTCAGCCATCTCTATCTTTCTTCAAACCTACACCAACCGCCACTACATATCTAGACAGACAGTGGTTGAGCATGCATAAAGCATTTTATAGACACTCCAGTCCACGAAGATTCATCACTACACCAACCGATTTGCCATCTTTACTTGACTTCATCATTATTCACTTGGTCGGTCCATGGTAATCGTTTTATGCTTTAAAGATACCTATGATCAAAAAATGATACCCAAAGCATGTCTCCTACATTCGCAGGCCATATTCTATACCTATGGAGTAAACTTTGCAGTTAACGAGCAATCTACAAGCATCTAACACTTAAAATAAGTTACGTTGTACAGTCGGAACGTGATAAAGTAAGATTATTTCAATAATGTGAAATAATCACTGAAGTCAAATAAAATTTATTTGGATTCACCACACTTGTGATGAGTGGTCTCAGATACTCAATGTTAAACGTCATTTGCCTTGGTCTAAGTTTCCCCTCTAATCTCTTATGGTTTTCTCATGCTTTATTGTTATTGAAGAAAGTTTTGCATCTGACTTACTACATAAAGAGGCTGTATGCTTTTGGCATTTCTGGACATTTACTCATACGACTTGTTAATTCTTGAATATTACCTATTATTCTTTACTGTTCTCCATTATATTTTCCTGGGCTTTTATGAAAAGACTTTGTTGTATTGTGAAGAGTGCTGAAGGCAAATTACATTGGTACTATACAGTTCCAAAATGATTGAAGATTAATTCTAAAGGATCCTTGAATAAAAATTTGCAGCATAGTCAAGCGAAATAAACAAACTTGAGTAATCACATACGTTTTATAGAATCCACTTCGAAAAACTGATAAATATATCAGTATTTTAGTTAAAATTATATACAAAGTCAAATGTGCTCGGTTGGGAGTAATAGATTGTCGCTAAAATTTCATGGAATTTGAACAATTTCAAAAATAAAGTTTCTAACATTCTTTTTAATGTCGGGAATAATTAATAGTAATTCGTATTCTTATACTGATGTGATGACATTATACATCTCATAGACTACTAAACACAGTATTGTAATTAGAAAGATACAGTGTACTTAATAAAACCTGTAAACCAAGCGAACCATCATCAGGAGGTAAATAAGTTAAAAATTGAGAAGTAATGCTTATAATAAAACTAGATCCTACACCTGAAAATTTTTTCTCAATAAAATACACTTCAAATTCAAACTGTAATATTAAAGGTTTGTTATTACATTACAGAGTCGAAAATCCTATCATGAAGCTAAAATACCCAGAAATCCATTACCTTACATCCAGGTCTTATGTCCAAATTTATATTTTTCAACGCCCATGTATCGGATGAAGCATAACGCAGACCAAAGTCTTTAAATTGAATATGGCCTCGTGATGGCCAATCAGAATCTGGCTGTAGTGTTTCTTGTGCGTCAGTTGTTTCCGGTTCCAATTCTACATATTCAATAGCACGTTCTACAGATACCATCTGAAAGTTTTAAAATTAAAATAATACCACTAAAACGTGTGAATCAGACGGTCACATTCTAGTATGGAATCCTGTAACATAAGAAAACTGTATGAGAACAAAAAATAATATTGTAAGAAACTTAGATTACAACTAGGTTTGACATAAGTAGCCGGTTTTAATTTCCTACGGAAATGTGAATTGCTGTCAACTTAATTTAGCAAATCACACCTTTTACCAGTTATTCAGCAATTCAATGTTGATGTCGAAAGGTTTTTCAGTAAAAATCACATACAACACATAATTTGTGAAACAATGTATTGTCATATCCAAAACAGATGCTACTGACTGATTTAAATAATAATTTGACATTAGCTACCTCAGCAGACAACTTTCCCCTAATAAATATCAGGTCGCCAAACCAAATGTCTAATAGAATCCACATTAATCTATCAATGAAGAGTACCGTCATTGAGACTAAACAAAAACATGGTATCAATCAAGTACTCATTTTAAACCAGAGAGTACTGTAAACCTAATTATGGCACTCAGAACTTATTGACCAAAGTCATAAGCAATTAAAACGAGAGACTATTTTATCCAATTATTGAACAAAAGTATAATTTCATACACATAGTTCCCTTTATCATTTTGAAATGAGCAAAAGGTATAAGTTCAAACTGATATTATTTTCGAGATAATACTTAATTATAGTAAACAAACATTTACAAGCAGTGATTAAAAGCATGATTATTGAAAACTACCTTAAAATTGTGCAATTCATTCACTCACTTGATTTTCAACTTCAGTACTCTGTCGTACACACCACTGGAACAATCCTATCAAGCTACTGGAATAAGTGAACATCAAACCTACATTAGCTCCTGGTATTTCTGTGATGGAGGAAAATAATTAAAATAGTACTATTAGTTCGGTTTGAAACAACAAACTTGAAAATTTACTTTGCACATTTAAAATGAAGGTCTGAACAACTACGGTTTTAAGCGGTGGTATATGTAAGTGGTTACCATTCATTGATCAACTTATAGAATAACATCATCTGTATGATTATTAATTCTGATAAAATATGTTCAAAACCACTGAACATTCAAACTAACCACTTGAAGTTACCATATATATTAAGTAATCTGAAAAAACAGTATGAAAGCAGAATTATAATATATATATATACTTACCTGAATATATTCCTAATATTAAGCATATAGCCGAAACACAAGTAATAAATATTACACATGAAAGATCCAAACGTATACCAAACCAAAGTGCTGCAGCTAAATTCATATAGAAGACATCCGTATGACTGTTTACTACATCATAAAATTTATTTAAATGGAATGACTGATCTCCAGAGGCTCTTATACACGGTAAACCTTGTAAAGTAATATTTATCCAAGAAAGTACTGGAGTACGTGCTGAATAAAACAATATAAAAGTATTTTAAAAACAATTAGAGATTCGTGGTATTTTTTTGTACAAAACATGTTTTTCTTCAAGTTGGAAAATATTTAATAACTAGTCAAACTTCTGGAATTTATCTCAGGGAATATTGTAAGAAAAGGTTGTTGAATAACATTTTTGTAACTGTTTACGTGAAATTATTCTTTTGACTATAGGCAATATTAAAACCAAGATGTTTGCAGTCTTATTGTTATCAACTAAGTTGAATGAATCCAAACTTTTCTTGATTATTTTCGAAATGATGAAAAAAAGCAGTTCATTAATTTCTTCCAAGCTAATTTCCACTTTTTGTAACTTGTCAACTTAGAATAAGTTTCGTTACTGATAAACTAACCTTTAAAGTTGTAAAACAATGGAATCATTAAATTATGATGGCGATTATGATTTGTGTGCTAATTTTCAATCTTTGCACGGTCGGTAGTATTTTACATATATGTAAATCTCAACTAAATTCAGAGGGACATTATCTGTAAGACAAACGTTTAATTATTTTGAAATTGGACTATCGAACAAACTTCAAACAACAAACAAACTTATATGTAATAAAACAAATGCTACACAGATGAGTTTTATAGACGTTTATTTGTATTAACAATAGACTTTCAATGGTTCATAGCCATTTCTTACAATTAAAAAACAATAATGTTTAGATAAAGTATGGTGAATGACCCATTCGTCCAATAGAATTTTGAATGTTGTTAATTCAAAATGGCCTAAACTCAAAGATAATACTAAATATAAAAGTAACAAATGTGAATTTGTAAAACGACCAAACAGCAACTAGGTTTTTAATCATTACAAGGTTGTTCGTATTAAAAGTATTTACCTAGCTAAATCCTACATGACTTTCCCTCATTAAAGTATCCCATCATTCCTTCAAAAATATACAATACACAAGAGATAAACAACTAAAGCATTTCCTGAACTTTGCTTGTCTAAACAACACCATAAAAATTAGAACCAATGTTAAGAAAGTAATCGGAAAGTATGATGTAAACCAGCCTTATATTCAATAAGTTTGTGGTCCAATGGCAGCAAGGAGAAATTCCTGACCTAAAACTGTCTACAACGGACAGTGGTTGCAATAAAGGCTTTCTAATATAATTCAGTATTTTATTGTGTGCAACAAACTAACCAGAAACACGATTCGGGTAGTAGGAAATCTAAAGTGTTGCCTCTATGTATCTAGCAAAATTGGTGAATATATTAAAATACGAGAAAGATTTAACAATTTGCAAATACAATGGATATAAATCAACAGTAAGTCACTTATAAATGCTTGACTAGAAAGTAATTTACAATCGCTTGTGAAATACAATCACTGCATTCTTACCAACTGCTTCAAGTCTCCTCAACTCTCTGGATAAACACATATATCTTCCACGAATTACCCAAAACAAAATAGAAAGAATTATAGCTGGGAAAATTGCCCAGTAACTAGAAATCACTGTAACAGCACAAAAAGTCACTACAAGGGATAAACACTAGTAAAATAAAAAAATACATTTTTGTTAACAAAGAAAACTCATCTTCATAATAATTTCAATGAGCAACTAATTTCCTAAAACATGTCAGGGATAATATGATACATTCTGTAGTTAACTAAATGTCACTTTGAATAAAATGATGTATAGTGTAAATAGTATTTATTAAACTTCTGTGAATACAGTAGGTTTTTCTTCTACTCACAGGCATCCTGAAACAACACATAAGATAATTCACATGATTATGAGAAAACTGACTACATATTAAACGTAATTTAAAAAGATCTGAAGTGACAGCTAAAAAATTCTCTCGAACTGTGGACTGATTATGAAGATCTACTGTATATTGGGAAGAGTAACAAAACTAGAGATATGAGCATTAAGAAAACAATACTTATAAAACTAGTTGTGGCAGTCTTCCGTGAATTACGGATTAACAGTTGTAAATAGCCTCAACTTCTCAGGGTCAATACAGAACTTATGGTACATTCTACCGAATGAATAGCTTTATAACACTGATTACTATATTTGAATATTGAAGATTTCGCTAATTTTCAGCTAAAATCTTTACGTGATTATTTGGGTCATATATCGTGATGACCCAGTGGAATTCTATTGTCTGGAACGCTCATTTATTCAGGTTCAATCATCACTGGCAAGAAGAGGAGAGTGACTGAAAGCAGAAGATCAACAGCCCAAGGGCGAGGTGGTACTTTGAGTTGTGCAGGGGCGTGGTGGTAGTAAAGTGTTTCGTTCAGATAACCAGCACCCCTAGTGATCCTGTTTTCCCATAATGGAATGAGTTTGGAAGGGTTTATCATAGGAGTAGTACATTTCATTTCGTCCCACAGATTTATTTCACCATCAGTGAGGTATTGAGACTCTGGAGCTAAGACTTTTAAAACAACACCAAAACGTTTCATACATAACTGATTTCAAGAAGCTATCTTTTGGTGCTGAGTTTATGCTCTCCAGTTGCCAAGAGCATTATAAGTCCAGTTCCCTTTACAGGTTCCTCACTGTATAAATCACTATAATCTCATCCCATCAATGCATGTTGCGTCCGAACCCTGGAGTGGTCATTCGAATAACCTCACTTAGCCCATTCGGACAACCAATGCGATATCCTCTTCGTATCTGGTAATCCAACATGAATCTTTTAAACAAATAGCAAAGAATAAGACTGTCCTGTGTTAGAAAATTCAGTGAGGCTAAACGCATTTGAATTAGTAGTTTCGTATAATAGTTCAAAATAAGTTTATTTCCTAATATAAGTATTCATCTGTTTGCCATTATGACAAAGGCAGATTGCTTTCATAACAACTTCATAGTTCAAATATTTTCGGCGCATATCTGCAATTTATTTGCTTAGCTTGGACATTCAACAAGTTTACTAATTGTCTTCAAAAGCATGGATGATGACATCCAATACAAGTTTAGTTGTAAGATATTTCTATTATGAATGACATATACCCATATTAATAATAGGCTCCAATAAATCAGTTACAGAACGTTGAATGACTGAAAAAGTGCATAAAACCACAGGAAATGACAATTAAATACAATTTTAAATCACTGGTTCCATCTTACATGTAAAAACTCGAATGTGTTTGTTGGCAGCAGATCATCTATAATTCCAATGTCTTTGGAAAATCTGTTTAATATTTTACCTGAGTTTTTTAATGGAAAGATAAACAATGCATTAAAAATAGCATTCTAAATTGGAAGTACTGTTTTTTCTTCTTAGCAAGATTTAGTAAACTTGAGCCACTTTTAATTACAAAACAAAAGTGAATAGATTTACATTCAGCTTTTTAAACAAATTAGAGTCAATATCAGAATAAACATGCCTCGTTTCAATCATATTATTTCTAAACTTTCTAAAGTATCATTATGATCAGTCTCATCATTATTAGAATAGTACCGCTTGGAACTATCTAATTTATGGTCTTTTTTAACGATTCAGCATTTTTAAAAGGAATCGTAAATCACCGTCCATCAAATAAGTAAATATTATGATCATAATGTCTTGTCAAAAGATGTGAACCGTACTATAGTTTCCAGAAAATTTTTAGTCTAACAACCTGTTAATAGTTTAATTATACATCGTTTTAATAAACTGATATTTGGTGAATAAAATGACGTTCTATTGACAAAATCATAATCACAAACACCATAGGTCTATACTGTAATGTGATTTTTTTAAATCAAAGCTATTTACATTGAATAAAAGATAACTTTCTAACCTGATAAATTTGATTCGAAAAACAGTATTCTAGTTGAAAGACAGGCTTTGACCATTAATTCGTGCAAACGTTCCGCCACACAAGTCATTTGCTATCAGAACAAAAATAAAAATTCTTATAATCAACAAAAGCATGAGAAACTCACCTGGTTAGAAAACTAACGATAATAGTAATGTATGCTTGTGAACTAGGCACCATGACCACACAGATTGATGACAATCAACTGTAATATTATCTCACATGAATATTAGCGCTACAGAGAGCAACAAAATATTTACATGTCTTGAGTCAAATAGTATATTAGTAGTAAGCTGATTAGGGACTTGTTTGTCCCAGTGTGACTTTAATGAAGTATCTGTAGGAATACTTAGAACTTTAACATCTCATTCGTTCTCTACCTGATTGTAGTAAATGTCACTGTATCAGACAATATTTCTATGAAGTTATTAAGACAATAGTCACTTTTCGTGTACATTGAGTGTCGTCTTAGTTAATGTTTCTACATATTCCACCCTCAGGAATAAAATGAAGGGCTAAAAGTCTTATTGACACAGTCGTTCACTCCTTAGTTCAAAGCTCGTCAATAAATACACATGATAATTTTTATTCCCTTAGTAAATCAATTTATAACTTATAATATTAATTCGTTTTGTATTGTTTGTTCGGATCTTCCCATTGATGTTTAGGTCTGTAATTGATCAGTCTCTTATTGGCATATGTGCATCCTGTGCAGTCCTAAACATCAATGAGAAGATTCAAACAACAGTACAAAACAAATCTAAAACTTCAGCCGATTGAACGAGCTAGCGGCTATCAGGACTCGTTAGCTAAGTGGGTAACGCAATGGCGTTTGAAGAGAACGGTACGGAGTTCGAGTCCTGAAAAGAACTCTGGGATGCAGACACACGCAGCTGACGATTCCTGAATGGGGCGAAACATGGGTCCTGGATTCCACTGCTAGCCAACATTCATTTTCTCCTATAATATTAATGTTTTAATCTTTTACGCATAACCAGCTTTGATAAATTGAAAGGTGAAGTGACAATGAGTAAGCTTTATAACTCCTATCAAAATTTTTATGAAACAGTGTTTAGGTCCAGCGATCACTGGCTTGGTAGTTTACACAGTAATTCCGCATAATCAATTGACTATTAAGTTGGCAATAAAGTGATTGAATAACATTGCTTACTTTGAAAAATAGCAGCGTACGTGCTGTACTAAAAAACACTAGCAGTATGGTAAGGATTATAATTATGTACATATTTACATAATTATCATCCCAGTTCCACGTTCCTATAACATGTGATGAGTCATTAGCAAGTGGGCTGTTCGTTTTGTTACGATTATCCACAATACGAATCCTATTTATAAGAGAAGTAAAAAGTAAAATCATAAGAAAAATCAAAACAATTCAAAAATCAGTTATATCAAGATTGGAAAACCTACTTATGACTTCAAAGTCACGAACTAGTGAACATTGAATAGGCGGCTTGTAGACATTGTTGAATTTTCGTAGTTTTATATCACGTGCTGACCCAAGTTAGAGAACTGCTGGAAATCAGGAAGCCCTGATATGAGACTTGTCAATAGTGCGCACCCAGGTTACCATCGGAATCAAATACAGAACCAGTAGTCTCACAGAGAACAATTAACTTCCATTAAATTCAGATGTCGTAGGTGGTTTTGGTTATGTATCGGCATCAGTTAAAGGACCATTCAAAACCACAGAGTAATAAGCAGCCTCTTTGTGCCGGTTTTATACCGATGACTCAACCATAAATTGAACCTATGACATTCAGGATAAAAACTAACAATGTTCTATAGCGAAAACTATATTCAAACTGAAGTAGTCCTCATAACAATTCGAAGATGGACATGCAGTAGCGATCAATCTCTTGGTCTGTGATAGATCATGTACATAAGGCAAAAAAATCAAAAAGCAAACACGACAATTTTCACTTTACAGATTTTTGTATACATGAAGGCACGATCAATAAGTGAAAGAAAGCTCCTAAATCTATTGAAATACATTTTCAAGAATGAAATATACAAAAAAGACGAACGAAAAACTATGTAGACCATATTAAATTTACCATCTTGCTATCCATAAATCGAATGTTGCATAAACAACAGTTGTAAAAACAAACATCAAAAGAGTAATTATCAAGTAGCGAAAACTTCCAGTTATTCGACCAAAAACTAAGTAATATTTCCATCCAACCTTTCCATGTCTAAGATTTTCACCTGGAATAGGTTCTTTACTTAGATGATGTTCTGGAATATTCCCATTATCAATTGTTTTGTTATTTCGTTCTGCTTCACCAACAACATAAATATCAAACACGCTTGACTTGATTGTTTGTATAGATTCGTAAGACCCTGTGGTAGTTATTGTTCTGATACTACTCTACAAAAACATAATCCAAAAACGTGTTAGAATTCATTCAAGATATTAACCACTTTAGAAACTAATATGTATTTTTAAAAATATTTATTCATGATGAATTTATTAGTTCTGAAAGTCTATGAACGCACATTAATGAGATGGTCGTTTGATTGAAATGATCAAGCATCCAGCTGCTAATGAGGTCAAACCTCTAATGCCCACTGAGTGAGTATCGAAAAACAGAATCGTTAAATCTCAAAGAGAGAAATAGAACTTAGATTTACTTACAACAGATTCAGATATGTCATGACTAATATGGGTAACTAATGCATAACTAAATTAAAGGCGACCAAACAACTGACGAAACTAAACATTTGGATCCCATAATAAAACTATCCAGTATTTCTAAATCCAACGACAATTTTAACGAAAAGTTAGCAGTTCAGCCTTACTCATTACTTTAATATGAGTAGTGAATATGTTAGTGTGAATGAAATATGGTGAGATAGCCATGAGTCTAACTAGCACAGGTCTTACATTCATTTAGAAAGTACACAGAATGAAAAAGCAAAAACAGCTAATACTCAAGTGGTAAATAATTGAGTTAAATTTATAAAGTCTTTAGTCAGAAGTAAAATGAGATAATGAATATACTACTCTCTATTAATAAGGATATAAATTGTTTGCAATAAATGAATTGCATTCTAAGCGCAATATGGATACTCAAACAGCTTTATGCTAGTTATTATTGCCTAAAGTACTCATGTTTCCCAGCAAAACACATTTGGTGGGGTGACTTAGTACGAAGTCAATTAAACAAGTTACTTACACATGTAAACTCCAGTTTGGGCACTTCTACCATTTCAGTTGGAACCAATAAGTTATGTAACTGTTATTCACACAATAACTAGTTCACAGTATAGTTCGAGTATTTATAACCAGTATCTAGCTCAATATTACATCATTCGAATCACTTCTCAATTAGTTAAGTCAACATCACAAATATCTGTATAAAAGTCAGCACAGAGACATTATATCATGTTCAGCTTGGAATTCAAACATAAGATTAAGTCAATGCAGTCATACAAATGTTTGTTGATAATCTGTGCAATGTAGTAGTTAGAATATCTAGATCCCTTAGATTATATCATTGATAAAGATAGTCTCATTAAATAAATAGGCCGATGCTCAATAGACTTCTGTACTGTGCAACTTATGCTCATAAACTTCACAGGTGAATTACGTTCATCATATATCCCTTTAAACTAAATCTATCACAAAAGACAAATTGTCACGGATAAATCACAACGGAACAAATCTTATCAAACCTACATCTTGTGCTATTGACGGTTGATACAACCGATGAAATGACCAAAATGTCTTGAAAAACTAATTTAAGACAGTATGAGTGGCTCAACGCAAAAGAATATCCAATGCACACAATTAGGACAGTTGGAAAAATATCTTGAAAAATAAGGCCTTTCATCAATACTAAAGCTTCCTGGTATTCTCTTAAACTAAGAATTATGTTTGTAACATATTGAAATTCATTCCTAGTAAGAAAATAACGTCTTACTTCAAAAGTAGGCCTAAAGCTAACATTACTTATTCCACATGTAATACGTTTCATGTTATCTTAGTGTTTATGTCTCATAGTTAAATGATAGAAATAAATATCATTACATTGAAACCTGGGAATCAAGTTACGAAGTCATGACAATAAGTCGAAAAATAACCAGTGGATTTGCTGTAGATAGAAAATTTAGCATCCAAATAATTATACAGAAAATAATGTTCTCTTACATTCTTCTCATTAGACAGTATCAAAGACCCTTGGATGGATTTTTCATTTACAAATGAATAATCATCTATACAATGTTCACGAACTAAAGAAAACGATGAAAATATCATTCCATCTGTTACCAAGTCTTCCAACTGTCTTGGGGACTGTAAAGTCGAATAATAACTGCTCCGCTTGTCAGATCTAAAACTCGCAAAAGTCTCTGATAATTGTCTACGGAGTCCATTAAATATAATGTTGGTTTCCTTTTCATTGTTGTCACCGTCTGAGAGTCGCAATATCCCATAATCGTTTGAATGATCAAAAGAATTATAAAAAGAACCATCTGCTTGTAACTTCATTGTTTGCAGCTCTGAATACGTCCCAAAAAATGTAATTTCTCCCTGGAAAAGACCAGTTTCACTTTTACTTTTAACGAGAACCAAAAGTACTCAGAAGTAAAAATAGACAAAAAGACACATAATCCATTGTTATATTTGTAAGTTACAATAATTCCTACTGAATCTAAAATATACTGTTCACCTAATGATTGTAGAAATACAAACCCGAAGTACATTCTCCGCCCGACGCATATCTCGATTTTATTGAATATGCATCGTATTATAACTAGAATAATGTCTAGTCGAAAATGTTATAGTGATTATACTGCTCTCGATTATCGATAATCTTGAGAAGACGAATATCTTATTGCACAATTAGTTTACATACTTATTGATAATTTTTGTATCATACCGGTTTCATATAATCACCATCAAAACATTGGCTTACAAATAATCAAAATAAACTCCTTCTTGTCGGATGTTATCCCCGTCAAAATTCGTGTAATACAAAGTAGTGTCTTAGGCTCTTCGCTCTTTTTCGAATACATCAGTGATAGTTGCAGTTGCTTTTGTATTGGTGGTCTTGAAGTAGTGTATTCGCTTTCTCCTAATGAGCTGAACAATGTGCGAAATGACATCAGTATAGAACTCAACAAGGTAGCACAGTAGTGCTCAAAATGGCACTTGGAGCTGAACACAGCTACATATGGATGGATGTATTTCGGTGATGCATCATTCAACTTAAATCTTACCATAAATGGTAAGGCGCTACTCAAGCTACATACAGTAGTTGATTTAGGACGCACGTATTCCTACAAATTATCCTTCTCAGAACAGATCTCAAAACAGACCTTCAGTTTTCAGCGTCTTCTGGTTTGCATGATTCTTAATCTCTATAACAACGAGTTACGTATTTTAATGTAAAAAGTATGTGTCCCACCACTCCTAGACTATTTCAGGACTATTTTTAGTAGTGTTCACTTAAGGGATAAATTAAAGCTGAAATTCATTCCGAGACGATTCACACTTCGCATTCTCGGGACTGACTGTACCCTAAATTATGAGCCCAGACGTAATAAACTTGGACGCAATCCTTTATGGAAACTGAGACTTAAACTAAATCCAATCTTTATCTTCAAAATACTTAACGAACTATCTTTACATCCAATGAGACAATTAAATATGCAGAAACTCCTAGTTATAGCATTCATATGAATTCCTTTACCAGTAAATTTTCCAGATTCTGGAATAATTCACCACTATCTGTTCGTGAAATAAAATCAATTCCATCATTTGTTCGCTGCATTGATTCTTACTTCTCCACTGAAAAGGACTTAAATGTCCTTTCACCTGTAAGTGTTTGACATTCCACAAGTGAGATTATGGGAATGTTAAATGTCTAATTATTTTTACTGATGGATCCACTAAGTAGGCTTACTTACTTGCTGATACTTTACACTTACACCATCCCTGGCAACCTTAACTATTTTGAATAATAACTAACACATGCAGATCACAAAATAACCTGTATTACGGCAAACCTGATTGAACTATCGTAGTAAGTATTGTTTTGCTTGTTCCGTGCTCTCTGTTTCCGTTTCATTTTCCCTAGTTATAGATTGTTTTAACCAATTCGTTATGGCGCAGGAAATGACCTTAAATGCACCGTTCACATATCAACAGGATGTCAACTTAAAAAAGATTAGAAGTTCCCGATTGATGCCTTTCATTGATGTAATACATGTGAAAAATGTACTAACTAGACAATTTTTTAATTGGAACACACAAAACAGTCTTATATCCTATATCTGTTCTCTACATTTAATGTTACTATCAATATCAAGTTGATCATGCCTTTAAACTGGCATGAATTCTGTAATAATAATTATTATTTTAATCCCCTCAAAACACCATTCCATCAATTAGAAACAGCTAGATTCACCTCAGATACCATTATGTGTGAAAGTATTTAAATTCATGTAAACAAAAGTTGCTTTAAAAACTAAGAGACACTTTTAAACTAGGTTAGATAATTTGTAATCCTTTAACAAACTAGATTACAGATTTACTGTCAACAAATAAAACTAAATCTTTTCCCCACAAAATGTATCTGAAGCAATTATTATGCCAAAATACATAGTTAAATGATATTAAAACAATTAGTCCCTTTGATATTAATCTGAATAAACATCATTTTGAACGAAATAAGTTACAAAAATATACCTCTTTCAGAATTAGGATTCTGTCCATATAAGGTAGAAGCTGGTGTTGATGAGTAACAAGAAAACGAAGTCTATCTGACAAAAAACCGCATATGCATTTCTGAAACAGGTGATTTGATACACGAGCATCAACCGCCGCGAGCGGGTCATCTAAAAGTAAGACTTCCTGACGAGAATATGCTGTCCGTGCCAAAGCTATGCGCGCCTTCTGACCACCACTTAAACCAGAACCTCGTTCTCCAACATATGTTTTGTCTCCTTCGGGAAATCTCAACAAGTCCTAAACAAAAATATGCAGAGATGTATTCTTATAAGCATGAAATAAATAATAAGAGTATTGTGTGAAAAACAATGCTTATTAGAGGAAATGTTGCTTGATATTCAGAGGTATTTGAAATTCAGCATACAGATCATAATGTCAAAATTATGTATGAAATTTCCATTTTCATAGCACCTTATTCTATACGTTTCGGACAGCCGTGTCGCCTCTTCACAAAATACTTTTATGACACAAACCAAACATCTGTTCCAAGTACAACTACTTCACTACTAACTTTTGTTGAATTTATCAGTTGACTGAACATGTAGTGTATTTCTTCTGTCTTCAGAGATTCACTTCCCATCGTAAACATGAAGGCTGGATATTTTAGTAGATCAATTACCGAGCAGAGTTCATGGAAAACAAACACAATATAATAAAATACTGAATCATCTCAAGTTACTACATGTTTTTTATCAAGACGATAAAACGAAGAGAAAAAACCACTGGAATTGAATAATAAAAAAATAAGTTATAAATGACAAGATAGTTAAGATAAGGCTTTGCCACAATATATGTGTCAACGGAACGGTAAATCTTCAGATACTCAGGAAATCGCCAAAACGAGGCCATTGATGCCATTTATTCTTTTATTGTTCCATGTGTTCAGTTACTTTCATTTGAAAATCCCTGTTACTCCTCATTAAATATCTGTATCCGTAAACACAAGTAAATTGGCAAACACAGTTCTGATGAACTTCGTTTTCTCTTTGAATTATCCAAGTTTATCAACTGGACTGTTTTAAACATATTCAGCGAAAAAAGATTTATTTGACTTCATAAATAGTTTCCTCATTATTAGGAAAAGGATACTTGTCACCATTACTCATGAAATATTTCGAAATAGGAATTTTCGGATCAAAATGCTCTGTCAATATTTTTTGCAATGAAATACCAATATGATATCTTCCACTGAATTAATAAACGAAACTTCCAAGTTTGTTTAATTCGAATTTCTGTTGTTGGGGTGAGAAGTGACCAAAATACATTTCATACATCTCCTACAACCTTATTTAGTTTCAATTCAAATATCACTTTTAATTGGCAACTAATAAGATTTACAGACCTCACTCTATAACAATTGATTTGCACTCATCTATTATCGTATATATAATGTATCATTTCAGTCTAATTCTGCATGCGAGGACTTCCATCAATTATTTTGTAGAAAACTAAATACTTATAGAAAACGTTATTAATTCATTTTTTTTGTGAACTTACGACATCTAAACTAGTTGCCTTCAGTACAAATGCATACCGGTCAGACTCAAAAGGAAGATTACAAAGGATGTTTTGACGTATTGTTCCAGGGAATATCCAGGCGGCTTGTGGAAGATAAGCTACACTAGGTGACCTGTAGATGTTTCCACTAGAGAATGGCAGCTCTCCCAAAATAGTTTGTAAGAGAGAAGACTGTAAGTAAAGTTAAACAACCAATAATCACGGTTAGTTTATCAATTATTAACTCTTGTTCCAATTAAGATGATAAATAAATTTCCCATAATATCTGAGATGCTAAGAATAACTAACTATTTTTTACATTTTTTTAGTTAGCTTTATGTAACGAACCGTAACAAGGTATTTTGGAATTAAAATATTCCTTTATGGTCGTAAAACACAGTGACATCATTATATATATATATATATATATATATATATATATATGGAGAATATAAGAGCTTAGGCATTTTGTGTTCTCCGAATGAATACCTTGATGTTGTCTGAAGTTGCACGGTTATAATGTTTCGGTCTATGGCTAGCAGTGTCACCAAGCATAGTTTTTTCTCCTCGTTTATGGGTCGTCAACTTTGATGCACTTGCATACACGTTGATGCTCAAATTGACACACAACCAACATCCATGAAATGCCACAGAGTTCTGTCCCAGACTGAGTCAAGATAGTCACCAAACTATTCGACAACCAGGTTAAATATTAATAGCCACATGTGTCTGTATCTTCCTCCGATGATCTCGAGTGACAAAATGATCAGTTTTTGTCTAAGAATTGAATTCCATAAGAATCTGGTAGTTGATTTTATGACAAAAACATGACTAAAACTTCTACATCTCGACAAATTTTCAGCGACACAAAAAATAGAGTACACAGAAATCATATGTGATAACTAAAGTAGATTCAATTGTACTTCAATATTTAAACGCCAATCTATCAGGTGGTTTGTTGTAGTCCTTTCATCCACAGTTTTTGACAACCAAGTCATAAATTTCATCCTATCTCATCAATCACAGACGGAAGAGCTAGGAAACACCATTTTTATCTCTCAAAAAACACAATAAGTACCAGCATCAATAAACAACATACTTGTCGTAAGAGAATAGCAATGAAACAATAATAATGTAATGCATGGATGACATAAAAATGACTTTGTATGTCATCTCACTCATTATAATAATAAAAGAAGTTTAAACACTCACCTTTCCACTACCTACAGAACCAATGATACCAATCAACTCACGACCACAAGCCTTAAAATTAATACTGTTCAATGTAATTTGCTTTAGATTCTTTAAAAAGAAGAAAACAACACAACGTAAAGTAGAATCAAATGAAGACTATACCCAAGGGCAATTCGGCCCAACTGCTCTATTGAGTGACCATAAACTAAAGTATTGATCAAGCTGTATTATTTACATCCTATATTAACAAACTATTGACCTAACAGTATAACATTTCGAAAAAAAACCCAATTATCTATTAGGTCGGCTGAAATTCATTGTTTTTACCCGGCGTCCTACTAACCGAATCAGTTGACCTCAGAATTTTGAGCGGTTCAAACGAAAATAATTTACTTATATGAGTCATTATGGGTCCCAACTGTCGTAGTAAATTTCATGAAGACCACTCTAGTACTGATGAACTATAATCACAAGAAATGTCTCATTGTATCTGTTTGGCTTGCCCCAGAAATATTTTTCTATAATTCCAATCGATGTATATCAGAAAATGTGGTTGTTTTATCTACGTTTGTTGTAGTAGGTTTCGCCCACTGTTTTATGGAATATACTTACTTACTTACTTACGCCTGTTACTCCAAATGGAGCATAGGCCGCCGACCAGCATTCTCCAACCCACTCTGTCCCACTCTGCCTTCTTTTCTAGTTCCATCCAATTCTTGTTCATTTTTCTCATGTCTATCTCCATTTCTCGGCGTAATGTGTTCTTTGGTCTTCCTCTTTTCCTTTGGCCTTGAGGATTCCATATGAGGGCTTGTCTTGTAACGCAGTTGGGTGCTTTCCTCAATGTGTGTCCTGTCCACTTCCAGCGCTTCTTCCTGATTCCTTCCTCCACTGGGATCTGGTTTGTTCTCTCCCACAGTACGTTGTTGCTAATATTGTCCGGCCAATGGATCTGAAGTATTTTGCGTAGACAATTGTTAATAAACACCTGTATTTTCTGGATGATGGCTTTCGTAGTTCTCCAGGTTTCTGCCCCATATAGTAGAACTGTCTTGACATTTGTATTGAAAATCCTGACATTGGTGTTGGTTGACAGTTGCTTTGAGTTCCAGATGTTCCTCAGTTGTAAATATGCTGCTCTTGCTTTGCCGATCCGCGCCTTCACATCTGCATCGGATCCACCCTGTTCATCAATGATGCTGCCCAAATACGTAAAGGTTTTTACATCTTCCAAATCTTCTCCGTCAATTGTGATTGGATTGGTGCATGCTGTGTTGTATCGGAGAATCTTGCTTTTCCCTTTGTGTATATTGAGACCTATTGCTGCTGAGGCTGCTGCCACACTGTTCGTCTTCTCCTGCATTTGTTGTTGCGTTTGGGATAGAAGGGCCAGATCGTCTGCGAAGTCTAGATCATCCAACTGCATCTTAGATGTCCATTGTATCCCGCGCTTTCCTTCAGACGTTGACGTCTTCATGATCCAGTCGATCACCAGGAGAAAGAGAAAGGGTGAGAGTAGGCAACCTTGCCTAACACCGGTCTTCGCTTCGAACGACTTTGTCAACTGTCCTCCATGCACAATTTTGCAGTGTAATCCATCATATGAGTTCTGTATGATATTGACTATTTTCTGAGGCACGCCGTAGTGTCGAAGAAGTTTCCATAGTGTTGTTCTGTCCACGCTATCAAATGCCTTTACATAGTCAATGAAGTTGATGTAGAGTGATGAATTCCATTCAATTGATTATTCCACAATTATCCGTAGAGTTGCGATTTGGTCTGTACACGATCTATCCTTACGGAATCCTGCCTGTTGGTCACGAAGTTGGGCGTCTACGCAGTCCTTCATCCTGTTTAACAATACTCTGTTGAAGACTTTTCCCGGTATTGAGAGAAGAGTGATGCCCCTGTAGTTATCACACTTGCTAAGATCGCCTTTCTACGGTATTTTGATCAGAAGTCCTTCTTTCCAGTCTGTTGGTACTTGTTCCTCATCCCAAATCTTATTGAAGAGAATGTGAAGTATCCTTGCAGTTGCCGCTACGTCTGCTTTCAGTGCCTCTGCTGGAATGTTGTCCGGTCCCGCTGCTTTGCCACTCTTGATTTGTCTGATGGCCATGCTGATTTCTTCAATTGTTGGTGGGCTAACATTGATTGGGAGGTCCGTGGGTGCTGCTTCGATGTTGGGTGGGTTCAGTGGAGCTGGTCGATTCAAGAGTTCTTTGAAGTGTTCTACCCACCTGTTTTGTTGCTCTTCAATGTTGGTGATTACCTTGCCTTCTTTGCTTTTCACTGGTCGTTCTGCTTTGCGGCGATTTCCAGAGAGTTTCTTTGTCGTGTCATACAATTGTCTCATGTTTCCTTCTCTTGCAGCCTTTTCCGCCGTCGTTGCTAAATCTTCCACATATTTACGTTTGTCGGTTCTGATGCTCCTCTTCACCTGTTTGTTTACTTCTGTGTATTCAGCTTGTGCCTTGGCTTTTTCTGCTCTTGTTCGACTGGTATTGATTGCTGCCTTCTTGTTCCTCCTCTCTTGAATCTTATCCAGTGTATCAACAGTGATCCATTCCTTGTGATGGTGCTTCTTATGACCCAGGACCTCATGACATGTTGAAGTGATTGCCTCTTTGATCCCCTTCCAGTTGCTCTCCACAGTAGTTCCTTCTCCATTGAGTAGATCATGAAAGGCCTGGAACTTGTTGCTGAGGACTATCTTGAATTTGTTGAGTTTGTTAGTATCCTGAAGAAAGGCCGTATTGAACGTTTGTGATATTGTCCGCCTCATTGTCCAGTACTTCTTGAGTTTCAATTTCATCTTGGCGACCAGCAAGTGATGATCTGATGCTATACCAGCTCCTCTCTTGGTTCTCACATCCTCTATAGTCCTCCTGAACGTTTTGTTGATGCAAATATGGTCGATTTGGTTTTGTGTAATGTGATCCGGCGAAGTTCATGTGGTTTTGTGAATGCGTTTATGTAGGAATATAGTGTCGCCTATGACCAGTTTATTGAAGGCACATTGGTTTGCAAATCTCTTATAATTTTCGTTCCTTTCTCCCAGTCCGTGTCGTGCCATGATGTCTTCATATCCAGTGTTGTCCGTTCCAACCTTGGCATTGAAATCTCCCATCAGAATGGTCAGATCCTTTATTGGACACTTCTCGACGATTGACTGCAGCCTATTGTAGAATTGATCTTTAGCGTCTTCATTGTAGTCGTTGGTAGGCGCATAGCATTGGATGATGTTCATTGAAATACCCTCTTTCTTTGTTTTGAACGAGGCTTTGATGATCCTTGGTCCATGAGATTCCCATCCTATAAGCGCATTTTGTGCTTGTTTGGACAGCATCAATGCAACTCCTTGTGTATGTGGTGCATTTTCTTCTTCATGGCCGGAGTATAACAGGAGCTCTCCTGTAGTTAGTCGTTGTTGTCCAACTTGTGTCCAATGTGTTTCACTGATCCCAAGTACCTCTAGGTTGTATCTTCTCATTTCTGCAGCAATTTGGAAGGCTCTCCCGGTGTCCCACATTGTACGAACATTCCATGTACCTAAATAAATGGTCGCTCTGGTTGTCAGAAGGGGCATCGGCCTCGTAACTTCCGAAAGAACTCGGCTTTCATCATGAGGCGTCATAATTCTTCTAAATGAAGACCTTCTGACTTCCAGGGCAGAGTTTAAAAGGTTTGAATAATTTTTTCTGGTTAGCGTTTTTTTAGCGAGTTAGTTTTCTACGGGATGGGGACGCTAACCCCATGCCCAACCCTCCTCCTTTATCCGGGCTTGGGACCGGCATTAGCCCCCAGAGGGACTCCAGGCGGAGTTGTTTTATGGAATATAGCATGCTAAATTGATGCACAGCTATGTCGGATTCTACAAAGGTTGTCTCTACATTTTGTTTGGGCAATCAACAAATCAAACTATTCGAATTCAATACGAATTTCCCTTGACTAGGAAGTAGATTCAAGATACGTAACAAACTACTTGTGTCGAATCAATGTTCATGAATCAGAGAGCATGTATATAGCTCGGAGGAAAGCCTCCAGTGTTTTTTACTTCCTATCTTTCCTAATTCCCATGAATATTTGATTCACACTAATTGATCATTTTGGCCTGTTCATTTTGCCTGAATCACGGAGAGCACTGGAAGTCCCCAATCAAGTTCAGATTCCTGTGTTTTAATAGTGAAATATTCGATCTAGTGATGGGTTTAGTGATACCAAATAACTTCCAAAACCAATGTTGACAAAGTATGTTTTGAACCTTTAATTTACTGGTCAGAAGTTGAGTACAATAACCGATGATAAAAACACCCAAAGTGCGAGTTATATGAATGGCATTATATCAAACATAAGGGCCAATGTAGTCATTATTTGATACAATATCAAACTGGTTACTGAATTTGTGTTTTTTGAATCACATGGTGTTTTAGATACCTTTTCATTTGTATTTCGAAAACATCACTAATAGATAATTAAATTTATTTACTCCGAATAAGTGACTTACAGTAAGCCATGAAACTTCAGAAATACAAATTTCTATTGATTGGTGTATCACAAAAGTATGATTATTGTATCATTATTAACTTTCTACCCAATGTTCAACTTATTTGAAACTGTCAATAATAGATGTTTAAAATGAAGAAAAAGCTAATCCGTTACATATAAATGGTCTTATATCATTCTGTAACAACCTTAATTAGCATTTCCTTAATAATCTTTTGAATAGAGGATAGTTCATTATTTCGTTAACTACATTTTTACCAGTTTACAAAATTTCGATTTCGATTTCCGATTCCAAGCAGCAAATTATACAGCCAACTAGAGAAATACTGATAAAACCGCAAACTTTTACGGCTGATATAGACCTTCATAATCTTAACACCTACATTTTCTGAATTCGCGTAAAACTTGCAAGTCCTCTGTTCAACTTTTGCTCTTTTGCAAGTAAACGCTTAAAAGGTGTATACTAAAGGTAACAAAATTAATCCACTTGGAGATCTCCTAAGATACCTTGATTTTATTTCTTGACGATACAAACAATTAACCTCACTAGAAATCAATTCAAGGTTTCTGAAATAATCCTGTCTAAGCAACTATGCAATAAAATCAACACAACACTATGGTAGATGTGCAATTAGAAGGCAAGAACTAGCTCACACAAGTGCACTTAAAAACAAGTGTGATAATTAATGTCTTTATCATCCGATCAAAAGCATGTCTTTAAATATTCCTTTTGAACAGAATATCTTCTTGAAGAATGATTAGTAAATGCACAAAATCACCGTGAGGAATTAGAATTTTTGTTGATATGTTTTGCAGATGGACTACAAAATAATAACAGAAAACTTATCTTTTTATATAAGAAAAGGTTGATAGTGGGTTTATATAATTTTGAGTTCCCAGAATCACACTTACATTTTGCCATTGTGAACAGACATTTGTCAGCTCTACAACTTGTTCATTTGAATTATTTACTTCAGGGTAATGATCATTTCCTACTTCAGGTAACAAAAGGAATCGCTTCAAAAATAAAAGTAATCAAAAATAACAATAGTTAAGTGTTGAAAAAATTGTGTATTCTATTAAGATCATTTAGTTGAGTAACATTATAAAATGTAATATATACTTGCGACTATTTACCTTTCACTCATCAACCAACTACTCGTTTCACTGTACTATCATATAATTCTATGTTGTTATATTTGAAAATATAGTAAACATTCAAAAATAATATGAATTTCCCAACGTTGAAAATAAAATAACATATTTACAAAATCCAAATGAAAAAAAATCGAATTTCTAACATTTTGCAACCATATGTAATTCGCTTCCTATGATGTCTCATAATGAAAGCTAGGAGACTCCATAAGCTACATACTTAATGCCCCTTACGACAACCAGGGCAATAGGAAACTTAGGTAAATTGAATGTCAGAACGTGGAAGACTAATGTCATTCCAATAACCTTGGAGATCCGAGGATACTATTTGGCTCTTCTTGGAATAAGCAGGAATCACTGAATACAATCTGGACAGAGAACTAACTTCAGGAAATCTGTTATTGTCTTTTGGTCATAAAGAAGAAATTGGCTCTCACACACAAGGGATTTCACTGATATAATTTAAATAAGCACGGAAAGTGCTTATGAGATGGGAAGCCAACAGCTCAAACATCATCAAAGTATCCTTCAAAACAAAAAAGGAAAGAGCTACAATGAATGCCATTTGTACTACTCACCATCTAATGATGACAGTGAGGATGATAAAGACTAACTTGTGAAATACTGCGGTCCATAATAGAGAACTTGACCATCCTGATGAGAGACATAAGAACCAGAGTAGTGATGGACAACACTTGGCATAAGCGCAACATGAGACTAGTAGGATGATAACAAGACAACGACACTGACGAACAACTGATCCTTATAACTACATAGTCGTAGGTACAATTACAAACGTACACACGAAATTATTCGGGTTCATAGGACACACCAAAAACTATATTGACCACATCCACATGAACGAAAGATCCAGAAGGCCAAAAGACAGTGTAAGAACAAAGACAGGAGTTGATATAGCTTCAGGTCACCATCTGGTGTTGGCCAAGCTGAAACTGAATTTTAAGGAGCTTTTGACTGTCAGGCAAGTACCGCCACAAGTGTTTTGTACACCTTTCCTCTGCGATACTAATAATCCCAGCCAGTTTGAAATAGATACCGGTAACAAGTTTCAAGTCTTATACGATCTGTTAGAAGTAATCACAATGGAGAGTAACTGGAAATGGATTAAAGAAGCGATGATTTAGATATACCAGATCAAGCTGAACGTTTCAAAGCACCAATATAAACAATCGGCCTATGTAGAGTCTTTGGAAGATTTAAGAAGGGAAAAACGAAAAAAAGCAGTCAAGAACATCCGTAAAATAGAAGAGGAATTCAAAGCATAGGCCAAATATAAATATGCAAACAAACGAGTAAAGAAAAGAATTAGAGCTGACAAGCGGAAATATGTAGAAGACCCAGCAGCGATAGCAGAAAGCGTAACAAGAGAAGTATGAGACAACTGTATGATACACCGAATAAGCTTGCAAAGAAATATAGTAAACGACAGCGACCAGTTAGGCACGAAGAGATTAAAACTAGTCATTGAAGTTCAGGAGCAGTGGAACAAGTTGGTATAGCACTTTAAAGGGCTTTTGGATAGGTCAACACCAGTGAACTCATTGGACATTAAAGTAGTGTACAATGACTTCTCTATGAATGTCTACCAACCATGGACCTGACATACATGACATTGATCACCAACCAATGATCAAGATTACAGGTACACCTTGCTGACGAGTGCCAAGTAGCACGAAACCCAGGTCCAGGGTTTCTTGTTGACTACTTCCAACCACCATCTTATCAACAAGGTCATCAAACAGATAAAAGTTAGGAAAGCGGCAGGACTAGACATCGTATTAACTGAAGCATTGAAGTTATATAAAAAACAAGTTCGAGGATGCTCCACTTTCTCTTAAGAAGACTCTAGGAGGAAGAACAAGTGCAAGTATAATGGAAAGTGGTATACCTCATTAAGATATTGAATAAAGGAGACCTCAGTATGTATGAGAACTACAGAGAGGACGCACCAGTGCCAGAGTCAAGTAACATTTTCAACCGAGTGTTGTGGAAATGAATGGGAGATTCAGTAGACACCCGACTTTGAGATCAACAATTTGACTTACATTACTACCAGACACGTACAGTCTAAATTGTGACATTGCAGAACATTACTAAGCTATCGACTGAATGAAATTCATCGCTATAGATCTTTGATAGAAAAGCATGCGATAGAGTGAATCCGAAAATCTCCTGAATTCTTCTCCCATATGATGGAATGCCTGAGATAATTATATCCATCACACGATACTGCCACGAGGAATTGAAATTACAAGGCTGTCCATGGTAGGCAGCTCACAGATGCATTCCAAATGAATGCTGGTGTCAAACAAGGCCGCCCACTCTAACCTTTTATTCAGTTACGATCTGTTGACTTTATTATGAAGGTGTTCATATTTTGGGAAAAGCAAGGGATGCAGTGAATACCTTGGATAAAGCAACATAATTTAGACTTCGCAGATGACTTAGCACTTCTGTCCTATACGCAGCAGTGTCCAGGCTAAAACAGACAGTGTAGCAGCGGTTTCCTCAGAAGTACTACCCAACGTCCACAAGCAAAAAATTAAGATCCTGAAGTACGACAGAGTGATCACGCTTAATGGTCAAGATCTAAAAAAGAGAGAAGAATTTATGCACCAATGCAGTATCATTCATTAAACGTGAGGAATTCATTTCATATGTAAAGGCGAGAATCTGAAAACCAAGAATACCTTTCCCACTGTTGAAGAATATCTGAAACGCAAAGAACTATCCACCAAGACCAAAGCTAGAGTTTGTAATAATAACTTCAAAATAATTCTATTGTACGGACTTGAGACATAAAGAAGCACTTCCACCATCAATGAGGACAATACTTAACTTTATCAAAAGACAAGATCTAACTTGAATCCTCTAAGCAAAAAGAACAGAGATGAACCAAAAAACATAATTTGCCGATAATCGGAGGCAGACATTAAGAGCACGAATAGCACTTTTCAACAAACAAAAAAGGAGAACCAAGGACAAAAATGGTTGGAGATCTCTGGTCGGCAACCTACGGCCCGAAACGGTCAAAAGGCATAAATGTAAACATATGGCTTTTCGGTTATAATACAAAGCGTTTCTCATTGTGATGTTTAAAGTTCCTTTAAAAATCAAGAATCTAATACTAAAATGAAAGCCATTTCGTAATTTTAATGATCATACAATTCTAAATTATGGCTTTACGTAAGTAAAATATTTGGTAATAATCTCACCCATCCAGGGGTAAAAGCTGGATAGAACATCTATAGTGAAATACGTTAAAGGCTTAAACATACTGTCGAGTTAATTCGTTCAATGTATTGAGCATCTTTAACGAAAACAGAGCTCAGACGTTTTAGTCCATTCAGCTTCATCTCACCATGAAATGTTATAATGAGATGGAATCACTAAATTATAACAAAAGCAAACTGTTTAGATAACACTATTTACACTACATTCCGTTTCAAGTTTTCAACTTTATACCTCAAGGTCATTAGAACACGATTAGTAAACACACTGCGTTATCAAAGTTTATTCGATAGTGTACACATTTTGGTTTCTAATCATATAATGGGATTATTTTAAGCACTGAAACGAGATGTAGCTTTCAAACAACAAAAGCATTAAAAGTACAGACATCATGGTAACATTTCAGATAAATTCAGTCATATGACATAAAGTGACTACAATCGTTTGCATATTCTACTTAGAAATATATAAATAAAGTGATATTTGAACTTTTTGACCAATTATCTGGCATAAATAAAACTCACAGATATACGCTTGTCAACAATATGCGCTATATTTATTTGTTCGATTGCTTGTGGCATGGATAATATCACTGAAATAAAAAGCGATGTGATTAAATTCATCAAAGTAAACAGCTGATAACTTTTGAGAGCTTCTGGATCATCTGCTCCTTTATGCAAGAGTAAAATACCCACTACTAGAACCATCACTGTAAACTTTATTTGATAAATTAGTTGACTCAGCCGGAATGCTTGAAAACACCGACCATTCATAAAAAGTTTAATTTCTTTACTAAAAGAGAACATTTGAATAAAATCTTTAGGAAATAGATTCCTAACTTTGTAAAGCAGTCATTTATGTCAAAATAAAGGTGGATATATTACAGTATGATCTTAAATTATTTCTGTATCTAAATAAAAATGTCCCTATTCACCGAATTAACTGGAAACTATAACATAATCTAAGTCTAAATGACAAATAAATTTTACTTTGAGTTTATGTGTGACGATTACAAACATAACATCAACATTATTAGCAAATTAAAGTGGATTGTTGAAACTTATATCATGACGTCTGAAGATAAGAAAAACACTGGTTCACAACAATATCAATAAATACAACATAATTTACAAAAGTACTTCAGAACTAAATTATTTATGATAAACATTAACCTTTGTCAGTAGTGATCAAAAGTTTGTAAAATAGAGTTTTTACCGACGAAAATAAGGGTTTTATTAAATTGACCGAATTTCAATATGTATCATGTTTCATATTCCAATTGATATTTGCCTTGACATTGTCAAGCCTACTTCCTGTACACTGTAGTATGTTGTAAATACAAATCAACTAAATTTCATAAGAAAAAAGTGGTAATCAAATGCTATGAAATGAAATATATTGTAAGCTTTCTCTTAAATTTCACACAATATTTTTAGTACATTCGTGGTGCAAAATATTTCCATAATAAAACATTAATTTCTAGTTAAAGTATGAACCAACCTCCTCAAACTATGAACTAATTTCGTAAATACATTTTCCCATACATGGAATTTTATAACACGTATACCTGCTATAATGTCTGAAAGAATGCGAATACGTTGATCAGTTACGTCAGCAGCTTTGAATCTAAAATTAAAATTAATGTTTATATCTCTTAGTAATATCAGAAATTGAAATCAAATTGTATAAACGCTTCACCTGGAAATCACTTACAAACATATCTATGGAAATAATGAAAATTAATCATCCGTTGACTCAGAGCCATGATGGAATCATTTAGGAAACAACTTGAATCTTGTTATGTTTTACGATAAGTGAAGTCGTCACTATAACTTTCGTTATTTCTCAGTTTACTGTCAGCTCCTTTGATCAGTTTTAAATAAAACATTTCACAGGGCATGTTAATCAGTGCTCCTGGCCTTGCCTTCTACTACAATCAATACTAACTTCACGAACAAAAGAAATGATATACACAAGTTACCTAATATACGACTACTCTAGCCATCATATGCCAAAAACTAAAGCCCCTGAAACACATAAACAGCTGCTAAATATTCTAAGGCAAACAGCAAAACATCGAAATTTTGCTAGCATAAGCGTTTGCACTGATATTTTGCTCAACCAAACCACCGGAAATAATGTTTTTCTCAAAATATGTGTGCGAAATCTCTTTAATCTAGGGATTATTTTCTTCACACTGATATTAATCAGAAAGGTACAGAAAACTAGTAAGCGACCGATGGATATCCTTTCCTAACTTGAGCCCCTTTCTCTATCCTCATCCACGATACTAGATGGGATCGATTCCAAAGCCTTTACAACTTCAGGTGAGTGTAGCCACCTGTTTAGAACTACATGGTTCGAATTCACCTCTATTCGAACCAAATGTCGTCGGTTACTAAGTGCTCCAATGCGTCTTTCGCTACCGATTTCTAAAAGGAGTCCATGTAACTACATCACCACTAACGATTAATTTGCCGAATCTTGTCCGATTTTATCACACCGTGGGCAAAAGGTTTTTTTCCTTTTCAAACTTTTAATTAGAATGGTCTAAAGCAATATATATATATGAATTTTGACCCGAGTGAAATACAAAGGAAAAGGGCAGCACAATTTTAATTATTTTGCTGTTACTTGTCAATCTCAAGAGGTGTAAAATAATCATAAGACGCAAAAAAATCAACAATTAGAACTGCGTGAAAATACTGAGAATCATTTATTTGATAGATGTTTTTGAGAGGAAAAAATAAGTGAGCAATTAATGTCGATTTCAATTTTATACTTGTATTGCCTACCATGAAACTAACGTTTTGAGTATTTTTTATTCGTGTCTGTGAACTGTAGAGTAAACTAGGTACATTTTAACCTGTTTTCAGCTACGCTTCTGTGTTATTCTACTTCTACATACAAAGAATAATGTTGAAATCATTTAGAGACTATATGGGCTGTAATCAAGGTATAGATTGCTACTTTTAAAACCTATTGATAAAAACAAGTGAATTCATACCTTGACTTTCCATATGCCCGATTAAAAGCAAACTGAACAGGAATAAACATGAGAATAACTCCCACCGTAATTAAACTTGGGACAAGAGTTATTTGGCTCATTAAGCCAAAAGTTATGAGCGTCTCAACTGGTCCAATCCACAAATAATGTACGAATAAAAATGTCTAAAAAAATCATCGAAAGTTGAACCATAATTTCATTTCATTGTAGAATTAAGATGCATTTAAATTTATCAATTTATGTAGCTATGCATAAGCATACTGTCTAAATTCATTGTCACACACTGCTTCCTGCTATGAAAAAAAGTTAATGGTAAATTAATTTTATACAATTCTGTGAATGAATTCGAATAAATATACGACCGTAGACTTTCCGCAAAGACAAATCTTTAGTTTGTTAATGACTGTTTCATATGGATTACAAGTTTGATACTACCCCTTGATTTTACATTACAATTTATCATCACTTTTACAGTTTTAGTTATTAGACGCTAAAGCATCTTTGCTTTATAATTACGATGTCTATTTACTAATTATTTCCTATGCAATTTGTATCAGTTGTCGACACAGAATTGTTTACTAACTTAACTGAAAATAAAGACATTTATTTTTCGTAGATTGAAATGAACTGAAACCCGTGACCTAATAAAACCAGAGTATTCAATGACATAAATTTCACGGTACCAACAAATTTGTCAAAAGAAGAGTCAGTAAAATTGCATAACAAAAACATAATAAAACCATTAGGTCGGTTTTTCAACAAAATAAAAGAATTTTCGTGCCGAAATAGTTTACTTGAATTAAACGTTTAGAGACGTTACGTAATCGTCAGCGTGAGAAACTACCGTTGGAATAATCCAACAACAAATGAAATGTTAACATTGTTTGGGAATTTCTTGACTTATTCTATACCATAGGTATTTGAGAATTCTTTGAAACTAATTAGCTTTGGGTCATGGAAATACTTGGCAGATGATAAAGACTGTATTGAGCATAAATGTAAAGTAGAAATTCCAGTATATTGAAAAATAGCTTCCTTAATATCCATATATAAAGTAAATGGTTGCAGAGAGCAGATAATAGAACGGATAGTAGAAGAGAGTTCACGAAAACATTCAATAAAATCCATAAAAATTATATTTTTATCCTCTTTAACGCTTACATATATTTTATATTTAAATATGCCATGGCAAATGTAGTAAGGTTAGAATCCATGAGAAACTGCAAGAATAAATTAAATCTTACTAAACTTTTGGTGGCTTTTTTGAGTCTAAAGAGCTGGCCGGTTAAAGAAGACTCTTTGCATGCATTATCGCTGGAAGATGCTGAACTTTAAACTTCTATCATAGGTACATAAGACCAGTAAGAATAATACCATTAATCAAACTACCTGTCGCTGTCAAGTAATTTCCTATCCATATTTTTAAACGCACTTAAAATGATTTTTAACAGTTGCAGTGGTTTACCAAGATAACGTTAAATCAATTCAGTCTGACCAATTCAAATAACCCAGCAGTACAAGAAAGTCACGTAAAAATGCAACATAGTTTTAATACCTGTCCAGTGCTTTAATCACAAGGTGAAGCACAAGACCAGTTACAATGCTACTAGTGTGGTGGACGACACATTTCTGGATCTTTATTCTGTGCCCAGCAAATATGATATAAATCTGTCTACTAATATTATTTCGGTACACAACAAGTAAATGGTGTTATAGCAATGAAAAATAGAATGCAGATATCCAAGACCATTCCTTGAAATTTATTCGTTGTATTTTATATGGTTTGTTATAGAAGGATGATTAGTATATGGTCAAAAAGTACTGTTTGACAATCATGCTCATTTAAAATGCTTTCAAGATATTATTTCCACGTAATTACATAATATGGTCTTAAGTTTGTGGGAGAGGAACTTTATTGTTTTGAACAATTATGAAACATAAAATTAAGTAGTAAAGCTGCGCACTACACGAAAACATTTAACGAAATGCATAAGAAATTATTCCGTCGATTAATAAGACGTACGACCATGTCCTAGTTACACAGATTTTCTTTTTAAAAGAAAACAATTTTACCAACTATTTACCTGCTATTGTTATATGTTAAATCGTCAAAAATCTTCATGATGTCTTATTTCTCACGAACTTACCTTGTCCTGACTTTGTTAACTGCCGTTGCCTAACTGTTCACCAAAACTCTTATTGCACACATTTTAACTCACGTCATATAGCATATTCTGTCAGTTGCATACTAACAACTAGGATCTATTTCTGAAATTCCTTGGGATTATTTTCCCTACATTATCATAATTGTAGATATATATTTAGACCTTTAAATATGCACCCCTCTGACAATAACAAGTAATTCATGTACTTTGTACATATTTATTCTCCAGTTTTATTATCTTGTTTGTTTTGTACGCTTTGGAGTAATAACTGGGATTCCGACATTTTCATATTTTTACTCGTCTGTCACTGTACTATACACAAATTATACACACTCTATCTTCAGAAAATATGGTCCAACGTCACTTTTTCAAAACACACTGAATATATTCAGGGTTAAAAAGTCTTACCTAACAATGTAAAGGGTTTTCGTCTCCTTAAAAGTAACCATAACCCAAGCCGTCCTGCAGTACATCTGTAAAAGTATCACGCTTGAAATTAAACTCGTAGTCTCACACCGTGAATCCCTGACCGCGTTTCATCATACTTTCCACCAATTGAAGTTACACACATTATATCTCATCAAAAGATAGTTTCTTATTGAAAGAAACACTGAAAAACATAGACGATATACCAACAGATTGGCAAAAAACCGGATTCTCTAGTCGATATTTTAGTTTAATATGCTGTTTGTGAATAAAATATCAAGCTGAATGAGGGTATTATTTGCATACCTAAATAATCGTAAGCAACACGCAACGCACAATACACTTGACCTGACGTTTTAAAAAATATCAATGGCAGAATTGAAGTGTTTACACTCACGTTATCAAAACACTGAGCATCTACAGACAACAAATTGATTATCTGACCAGTTGTTGAACATCCCAGTGCTTTCTGGTTAAGCCGAAGTACCTAAAAAATAAATTTGATATAAAGAACAAACCTTTTTGAAAATCAAACCACACGCTGCAATTCGCACACGTGTACCTAGACGGTATAAAATCCAGTAGCTAATATTTACAACTATAATCGTCACAATGGTGTTCAAAATAAATGCGAAGCTAAAGATAATGGCTCTGATCATATTCTGACGGTCTTCGATATCATTGAACCCCAGCAAAACTTGCCGCAGAATTATTGATTTGGAAATATTACAAGCTAGCTAAAAGAGGATTGATGCAAACTACTAAAAATACAAACTTTAGATATCATAAATAAACCTGAAATAAACAACTCTTTTTTAAATGCCTTAAACACCGACAATAACAGTTTCGGATTTTTCTTTTTGTTCTCTAAATCCCACTCTCTGTTAAAATCATCTATTTCCCACCGGCTCAAATAAGTCCTACCGTGCTAATTTTTCGGTATTCCAATCTGCTTTTTCACTTTCAGGGCACACATAAACATCGTCACTTGTTAAAGTTTTTGGATGTGAGTGCGCGAATAAAGGGTTGAGCCAAACAAAAAACATTTTGGAGAAAATATTTGCTTTGTCGTAAGGTGACCTCAGATCATTTGTCGCCTCCATTTCTCGCGAACGTCAAACCTTGCGCTATTTGAAAGCGAAAATAAGTCAAGGAAAGGTAATTGAGTTTAACGTTTATAACAAATGCCTAAAATTCATTTAGACTGTATTAAAAAGGTATTTGTTTATTATGAAAAATAATAATATTTCCCTCTCATCTTCTCGTCTGAATTTTTGCTGAAAAAATTAGTTTGAGTCACATCGACTCCCATCAACAGACATTTCATGAGAAGATGGATATTCACTGAAAAACAAGCTGAAAGAATAACCATACGTCAATCGATTCATTATCTGGAATAATGAATACTAGAAACCTAGTTTCACAAGCAGCAGATCACTGGCAAATGTGCTTCAGTAAAAAGGTCAGTGTCTTCAGTCCTTAGTCTTCGGTAATAAGGATAGTAGGTTGATGAACCTGTGGTAATCCTGACAGACTGCCTTTCAGTGAAGATCCAGCTTCTCCTTGAAAATATTCACTAGGTATGACTCGGACACTGAATCATCCTTACTAGATCTGATACTCACTATGTGGATGACGTTGCGAACCTTCATTATATGCCACCCCTAGGTAAAAATGATCACGCAGTTTTAATTTTCGACTTCCATATGACTGCCAGTCACGGGCACGTGTCAGCCCAATCCAGACCTAACGTCTGGAAAGCAAATATACCAGATATCATGCACTCAGCATCGTTAGTAGATTGGACAATAGACCCAGAGTCCTCAGTTGAAACGGCCTGGGACGCATTCGAAATTCATACCTAAAAGTTTCCACACCCCACATCCCTTGGACTATACCAGGGGGACCGAGAAACTTCCCACCATGGTTCAGTAGGGAGGTCCGCATCCTTCCCCGTAAGAGACGAAAAATGTGGGATAGATTTAGGTTACTGGGGACTGATGAAACTAAATCCCAGTATAGAAAAGTCCGGAATACCTGTGCCTCGACCCTCCGTGAGTCTAGAAAGTTTTACGAAAAAAAGATTTTTAAGGAATTCATAGAATGTCCTAAACGTTTGCATTCCTATATAAACCAAAGGACAAAGAGAACAGGAAATATTCCTGCTCAATGGGAAGACAGTGCTGCCGCATCATTAGTGGGGGACGACTTTGGTAAGGCTCAAGTGTTCTCAAACTACTTTAGCAATGTACACACCATGGAAGCACCCTTCCCATTAGCGCATACAGATTCCCCCACACATACACTGGATAGCGTAACCATTAAAGAACTCAATATCTTGGGTCTACTGAATAAGTTTGACATAGGTAAATCCACGGAGCCCGATGAATTACATCCTAGGCTACTGAAGGAATTATCTAACCTCGTTGCGAACCCTTTAAGTTTATGCTTTCACCTATCCGTGACGCAGGGTCGTTTACCCAAAGACTGGAAAAACGCCATAGTAAGTCCTGTCTTCAAAACAGGTACGAAACAAAAATCTGAGAACTACCGCCCCGTTAGCCTAACTAGTGTGGTTGTTAAAATCTTAGAAAAGATTATTCGGAAGGAGCTGTTTAATTACCTCGATAAAAACCGGACCCTTTCGGAGAAGCAGCACGGTTTCAGAATAGGTTACTCTTGTCTCACTAACTTATCAGTGGTTCGTGAAAGCTGGTGCGCTCTTAAGGACCAAAAGTTACCTGTAGACGTAGCCTTATTGATTTCAGCAAAGCTTTTGGCAAGGTTCCGCACAACCGGCTGTTATATTAGTTAAGAAATGTCGGAATTGGAGGCAATCTATTTATGTGGATAAAAGACTTCTTATTTGGGCGTCAACAAAGAGTTCGGGTGAACTCAAAGTTATCTAGCTGGGAAACTGTGCTTAGTGAAGTGCCCCAGGGTACAGTTTTGGGGCCAGTGCTATTCCTCTTGTATGTAAATGACCGTCCTCATCTCCTATCATCATCGGTCTTGCTATATGCTGACGATGTCAAGATATGGAGAACGATACGATGTGAGGGTGATAGCTTAGAACTCCAAAATGACCTGAAAAAATTATCTGAATGGTCTCAAACCTGGCAGTTGCCGATAAATACTTCCAAGTGTGTTGTGATGCATATCGGTCATCAAGGTACAGATGCATACACCATGAATAACACCAAGCTACCTGTCATCCAGACACATAATGACTTAGGAGTAATCGTTAGCCAATACTTAAAGACTACTGCACACTGCCGTGCAATTAACTGATTACAATGAATAATTGTAATGTTTATCAGTTTCAGAAAGCATTGTAATCATCTATATGAAAGCAAACACATGTTTTTTTTTGTGTTCTCTCATTGTAAATAAATATGTTGTAATTTCTCTTCTTAAAATCATAAACGCTAGGACTAGTTGGTAAATAATTTAGATTTTTCAATAAATGCTGTAATGTGTTTTTAAATATTGTATTTTTAAACTTTATTTCATATTGAAACTCATTTGTAGATGGTGGTGGTCAGTGGTTTTTCTGAAAGTGAAACAAATAATTTAAACAATTTAAATGTTAAAGCGGCCAGCCCCTGCTTAAAAAAGACAGTAAGCTTCTGGAAAACGTTCAAAGAACGGCAACTAAGCTGTATCCCGGAATAGCGAAGCTTCCGTATGATGCTCGACTGGCCAAGCTGAACCTTTTCCCGTCGTCATATCAAAGAACTAGAGGCGACTTGATTACAGTTTTCAAATTGCTTAGTGCCAAGTTTGCACCTGATATGCCTGTAAAACCCCAACTACGATTTGGGCTGCTTAATAGCCTTCCAGGTACGTTAGACACGCGCCCTTTCCCGTCGAAATCAAAACAAGTAATCGGGTAAATAGAGGTTCTATAATTCATCATAAATTCAAATGTAAATCGTTACCTAAACAAATATTACCACCCGGCTATTCAACTAATAATTGTTCAATAAATAAAATCTAAATTACAATAAATAAAGTAGGTGATGAAAGATGAGGGAAGATTACCAGTCACAACAAATGAACATTATTCTATCCTGACTGGATAGAACACACAAAAGGAGGAGCAAATCAATATGGCGACCGCCAAGAACAAGTGTCAAGTAAAACAACACAGATGCAGTTCGGGAAGAAACACAAATTTAGGGAATGCGTAAGAAAAACAAAACTATAATAAAAAATACAAGTATTAACAATTCAAATGTAATCAAAAAACTAAAAATGTACAACTAAGGGGATCAATAGGAACACAGTGAATGTATATGCATGGAGGGATGTTCACAAACACACAAAACATTCAAAATGGATCTTACAATGCCCTCATTTTTCTTGTCTTCCAAAACAGAGAATTCACTGTTATTAATAGGAATATAACCAAATCACAGAATGTATGGCTTATCCTTTCCTATTGTTCATTGTTTATTAATCATGGCCTTATGCTCCTAACCTCACTTTCACTTCCCAAATCTCTCTACAGGTTAGATGTACATTATTCTTCCTAAAATTCATGCCTTGTTTTCTATTGCAAGTAGACAGATAACTCACTAATCTTATGGATGCTGATCTACTAAGGTCGATCATACAATGCTCAAAATTGGTCGGAGAGTCTTGTGAGTTGCTCAATGTCTTATCTTTCTTACCCTAAAATCTTTTTTTACAATTATATACTCTTTCATATCCTTTGATTTGCTATTAGTCCTTACTTCTTTAAACCATTAGTTATCTTCATAGCAGTGTGATATACTAAATGGACATCTAACCCATAAAACAAACTTTATATCTGATTTGCTTGTAACATGGACCTAGTAGAGACAGTGTATTCCAACTAAGGGCTTCGATTAAAGCAGTATTCATACTCACCACAAACGTAAGAGAGCCTAACATCACAAAAGGAGGGAGGGTGGCGTTACTGACCAGCATACATGATGGTGGGGAGGTAACTTCAATCCACTCATGTCTGTAGGGCAGAGCATTTTGTTTAATTACGGCTCCTTATGGTTTAGTGAGATGTTGCGAACTTAAGGTATTAATGCTGATTTACCATGCAAAATACCTCATTAAATCGTGTTACGAATGTTGAATTCGTTTCACTTCCTACTCAGTAATCCTATTACAAGCAAACTAGACAATTCGATAATATACGAAGCCTACTCAAGACCCTATGATACTCAAAAAATAATAATAATATAAAAAAGATGAAAAGGGCTCCAACAGCTTCGATAAAAAAAGGAAGATGGTCAATGGTATATCACGATACTGTTTTTAGTACTATATTTTATGACCACACATAATCATACTTTCAGCTCCTTTCTGAATCCCCTCCATTTCTCAGTTGTACGTCCGCTCATACTTTATTTACATTTATTTTCTTTAACCTATTAAAATGCTATTGCTTAACAAATACCTTAATAAAGGAAAATTAGAATGAGTGATCATACCTTAAACATTCCTTCATGAATATCGGCTACTCTGCCTCTCGTGTTTTCTTTTACTTCAGTCTTCAGTCTTCAGTAATAAGGATAGTAGGTTGATGAACCTGTGTTAATCCTGACACACTGATTTCCAGTGAAGGTCCAGCTTTTCCTTGAAAGTATTCACTGATGGGGCTGATACCACTTGTTCGGGTAAGGCGTTCCAATCATTGACTACTCGATGAGAAAAACGGGACCCCACTTTAATTTTATTAGAGCGCAGTTTGTGATCCTTCTCGATATGACCTCGGAGATTATTAGTGCTGGAGGGAGCAAAAAGATAAGACATATTAACACCCGAATCATAATTAAAGATACGAAACGCCAGTATAAGGTCACCTCGTGTCCTACGATACGACAAGGGGAAAAATTTAGGCGTTTTAAACGCTCATCGTAAGTGAGTTTAGAAAGATCCTTCACTAATTTCGTTCCCACACGCAGAACGCGTTCAAGTGAGTTAGTATTCTTTACCAGACATGAGCTAGCTGCTTGGATATAGTACTCTAAGTGTGGTCTTACATAGGTGAGATATAAAATTCAAAACATTTCCTCGTCAAAGCATTTGAATGCTCGGCAACGTGACCATAACTCACGAAAACCTTTGCCAGCAGCTGCTTTGCAATGCGTAGTTGTTTTTA